TTCTGAAATACTCAGACCAGCCCTTCTGGCACCAACAATCATGCCACGTTCAAAGTCACTCAAATCACCTTTCTTCCCCATACTGATGCTCGCTTTGAACTGCAGTTGGACAGGTGTAACTAATAAAGTGGCCGGTGAGTGTATTTCATTGCACACTAACTGAAATATTTCAGGTCTTTTATTGTCTTAATATGAATGATTTTGGCATCCAGCTCATGAAAACCCAACATTCCTATCTTATAAAATTAGCGTATTTTATCCGACCAATAAAGGAAAAGTGTTCTTAATACAAAAGTCGACCTTCAAATAATTCTGTACAGTTATTCACTCAATACTTGGTGGGAATCCTTTAGCAGAAGTGGCTGCTTCAATGTGGCGTGGCATGGAGGCTATCAGCCTGCTGAGGTGGCATGGAGGCTATCAGCCTGCTGAGGTGTCATGGAGGCCCAGGTTGCTTCCATAGCGTTTAGCCTTTAGCTCATCCACAGTGTTTGGTCTTGGATCTCTCAACTTTCTCTTCACAATATCCACAGATTCTCTATGGGGTTCAGGTCAGGAGAGTTGGCAGGCCAATTGAGCGCAGTGATATCAGTGATCCATTTACCAGTGGTTTTGGCTCTGTGAGCAGCTGCCAGGTGGTGTTGAAAAATGAAATCTTCATCTCCATAAAGCTTTTCAGCAGATGGAAGCATGAAGTGCTCCATAATCTCCTGATAGCTGCATTGATCCTGCCCTTGATAAAACCCAGTGGACCAACACCAGCAGCTGACATGGCGCCCCAGACCATCACTGACTGTGGCTACTGACTCTGGACTTCTGGCATTTTGGCATTTCCTTCTCCCCAGTCTTCCTCCAGACTCCGGCACCTTGATTTCCAAATGACGTGTAAAACTGAGCAACAGTCCAGAGCTGCTTCTCTGTAGCCCAGGTCAGGCGCCTCTGCTGCTGTTTCTGGTTCTAAAGTAGCTGACCTGGGGAATGCGGCGCCTGTAGCCCATTTCCTGCACACGCCTGTAGGCGGTGGCTCTGGATGTTTCTACTCCAGACTCAGTCCACTGCTTCCGCAGGTCCCCCAAAGTCTGGAATCGGCCCTTCTCCACAATCTTCCTCAGGGTCCGGTCACCTCTACTGGTTGTGCAGCGTTTTCTGCCACTTTTTCCTTCCCACTGAGGCGCCTTGATGCAGCAGCACTCTGGGAACAGCCTATTGGTTCAGGTTTATCTTTTTGTGTCATAGCCTCTGGCTGAGGGGGTCAATGATGGCCTTCTGGACAGCAGGCAGGTCGGCAGTCTGACCCATGATTGGGGTTCTGAGTGATGAACCAGGCTGGGAGTTTTAAAGGCCTCAGGAATCTTTTGCAGGTGTTTAGAGTTAATTAATTGATTCAGGTGATTAGGTGCATAGCTCCTTTAGAGAACTTCATCATGATAGGCTAATTGTGTGAGACAGGAATTCTGGGTTTTCATGAGCTGTTTGCCAAAATCATCCGTATTAAGACAATAAAAGACCTAAAATATTTCAGTTAGCGTGCAATGAATCTAAAATATATGAATGTTCATAATGAACTTTATCACAATATGCTAATATTTTGAGAAGGAACAGTATACAATGTTTCTGTTAGTAAATCCCTATAATGATTCCACACTATGGCTTTAAAATGTTGGCTGACACTTGTTAAAAGGCTCTGTTTCTACACCTTGAAGTTTTCTCTCTCTGGTTCGTTTTCCTGAAAAGAGAGCATTCACAGGGTTCAGACGGGAATGAGTGACTCTAATTTAATGCATTGTAATGCTCTTTTAATGCCGTTAGACATATTTTCAATGCTATCAACAAGTACCATGTACACAAGTTATTAGTGTACATGAAATATGAAGGAGCTGACATTGCATTCTATCATAAACACGCAGCTACTTCGCAAAAGTCAGCCGCCCACATTCTGAACACCACGAGATAGAATAGGCTACCAGTTATTATTGGTGGAATTTGGAAATGGAGGCAAGATGAAGAAATCTACGCTGGAAAGAACTAAACTCAGCTTTGGAAAGCCAACAGGTCAGGAGAAAAGAAAGAGAGAAGGAGGCGAGTTCATTTCGCCAGTAAATATATCATTCAAAGCACGGC